GCAGGCAGGAGCCATCTATGCCATCTTGGAGAAAAGGCAGAATGAAACTATTTAAAAAGACAGACAATACCCAGTTCCAAATTCTAAACATTTGTTGGTGTTTACCGCTTTGTGCATTATAGAGACCCCAATGCTGGAGGACGCTGATGAGGGTGGGATGAAGCTCTGGCACCTGGTGAAGCCGACAGAGGAGCCCGAGCTGCCTAAACATCGGCGAGGGAGCGTCCGGGAGAGAGAGAGGGCCAAGGCTATTCCTGAGATCTATCTCACCCGCCTCCTCTCCATGAAGGTAAGAAGGAGCTCTCTGCTCACCTCCTCCCATTCCTGGTATCCTTTCAGGCTGCAACCCTAGGCACGCTTTCCTGGGCATAAGTCTCAGTGAAAAAGCAGACAAACTTTACCTCTGAGTAAGTATGCACAGAATTGCAGCGCTAGGCCTGTGCATTGCGACTTGGCGTCACTGACACTGTTGCATCCTGGGACCTTGTCCCACAATGCCCTTGCTGAACCTTCCTGAGGGAAAGGCAGTACAGTGGTGCCTCGGGTTACATACGCTTCAGGTTACAGACGCTTCAGGTTACAGACTCCGCTAACCCAGAAATATTACCTCAGGTTAAGAACTTTGCTTCAGGATGAGAACAGAAATTGTGCTCCGGCGGTGCGGCAGCAGAGGGAGGCCCCATTAGCTAAAGTGGTACCTCAGGTTAAGAACAGTTTCAGGTTAAGAACGGACCTCCGGAACGAATTAAGTACTTAACCCGAGGTACCACTGTAATCTGGAAATGAAAAGCACTGCTTTTCATACACATCTTACATGGCTGCATCTGTCAGTTCTAATGCATTTCACAATTTAGCATTTGTTTTTCCATGATGCGTTGATAATTTATGTATTATATATATTATTTATCAATAATTGCTATTATTTCTTGATAATTGCTGCTGTCGTTGCTTATGGTATGTACGTAAAAGCTCTGTCGCTCATAAGCAAAGACTTGGAGGATGGGTACATTTTCCACAGAGGGTGCAAGAGGGAAAGGTTGAAAGACCCTTAACCCCCACGCCAGTGGTCTTCAGTTTCTGATTACAGCGGTACCTTGGTTCTCAAACACCTTGGTACTCAAACAACTTGGAACCCAAACACTGCAAACCCGGAAGTAAGGGTTCCGGTTTGCGAACCTTTTTCAGAAGCCGAATGTGCTCCGTTTTGAGCGTTACACTTCCAATTTAAGTGCCACACTTCTGTTTTGAGTGTTACGCTGAGGTGTGTCTGTTTTTGCTATTTATTTTGTGTTTTTGCGGCTCTTTTTGTTGTGTTTTTGTGACTGTGTGGAAGCCAGTTCAGCTACTGATGGATTGATTGTGTGACTGCAGTACATTGTTTATTGTTTTCGTTTTATGGATCGATGGTCTAGTTAGATGGTAAAATTCAAGTTAAATTGCTGTTTTAGAGGCTGTTTTTAAAAGTCTTAACGGAGTAATCCATTTTGCATTACTTTCTATGGGAAAGCGTGCCTTGGTTTTGGAACACTTTGGTTTTGGAACGGGCTTCTGGAACGGATTAAGTTTGAGAACCAAGGTTCCACTGTAGTCTCAGCAGCCTTTTATTTAAAGAAAGGAAGACCAAAGTAGTACCCCACCCCAAACAATGATGGAAATCCATGTAGCTTGCCAGTTCTTCCTCGCTGGCTCCGTGCTGGAAAAACACCACTGTAGATGTTTCTTGATGGCTTGTCTCTTTCTACCTGGGTTGTTTACCTGCAGGGGACTATGCAGAAGTTTGTAGACGACCTGTTCCAGGTGATCCTCAGTACCTCCCGCCCCGTCCCGCTGGCTGTGAAGTACTTCTTTGACCTGTTGGATGATCAAGCGCTGAGCCATGGGATCACGGACCCAGAGACCATCCACATCTGGAAGACAAACAGGTGTGCAGCCCAAGCCGCTGCCTATAGCGGAATATCCCACTGGGATATTGCCATGCTCTCCACTTCCCTGTGACGGAGAATACTCTAGCACATGTTAAAAATTAGAAATTACTTGAAAGTACCAAAATAGGCCTAGGATTAAATTAGGAGTTAATTAAATAAATAAGATTTAGAACTTTAAGGAAAGTTAAGGAATTTTATTTTAATTGGAATATTGTGTTTTTAAAAAATGATATCAGAAAACTGCTACATTTTAATTACAAGGAAATTCAGATGGGAGGGGTCAGAGGAAGCCCAAAATATGTTTATGAGGTTAGAAGTTTAAATAATTCATTAATTTGTGGTGTTTAGGTGTTTACCGGTATTTTGTTTTTACTCTCTTTTTTGTTTATATTTGTGATCTTGTCTTTTTTCTTTTTGTTTTTTTTCTTCCTGCTTTTCTTTTGTTGTGATATATGTTACATCTGTAAGAAACTTAATAAAAAATATTTTTTTAAAAAAGAGAATACTCTAGCACAGGGGTCATCAAACTTTTTCAGCAGGGGGCCGGTCCACTGTCCCTCAGACCTTGTGGGGGGCCGGACTGTATTTTTTTGGGGGGGGAAATTGAACGAATTCCTATGCCCCACAAATAACCCAGAGATGCATTTTGAATAAAAGGACACATTCTACTCATGTAAAAACACACTGATTCCCGGACCATCTGTGGGCCAGATTTAGAATCATAGAATCATAGAATCATAGAGTTGGAAGAGACCACAAGGGCCATCGAGTCCAACCCCCTGCCAAGCAGGAAACACCATCAGAGCACTCCTGACATATGGTTGTCAAGCCTCTGCTTAAAGACCTCCAAAGAAGGAGACTCCACCACACTCCTTGGCAGCAAATTCCACTGTCTTAGTTTGCCTACCCATGCTCTAACAGAACTTTGACAGCACCCATCTCTGCTGCCCCTAATGGGGCATGGAGTTGTCGCTATGTGCCAGGATTGCAATTGGGTTGTGCATTTTGGCCCCTGGTCCCTGGGCTACCCTAGTTCAGCTCCCTCCCGAAGCACTTAGTCCATAGGATTCCCATCGCATGCCAGTAGGTTGACCGTTTCCTCTTCTCTCTGCAGCCTTCCCCTGAGGTTCTGGATCAACATAATCAAGAACCCCCAGTTCGTATTTGATGTGCAGACGTCGGACAATGTGGACGCTGTGCTCCTGGTCATTGCTCAGACCTTCATGGACTCCTGCACTCTCGCGGACCACAAGCTGGGCCGGGTGAGCTGGAGAAGGCATGGGCTTGAGTTTCTGCTTTGACATCAGTTGGGGAAAAATATGGTAGCCGTATGCTCTCCACGCCATCTTTTCCTGATGCAAGTCAAGCGGGGCTGTTGCCTTTTGCTGCAGAGGATCCAGGCATTCCTCTGCTGTGGGCGTGTTGCCTTTCTCCCGAGCGCAACCCACAGTGCTTTCTCGCTCGGAAAATGAGCTTCTCTCCAGCACTGACGCAACCTGACGGAGAATCGTGGGGAAAGGGCCCAAAGGGGCCCGTCTCCCTTGCAAATGCAGGAATCATTCAGTTGCACGACTCTTGGCTGGTACTTGCCATGCGAAGGATGCCAAGGGACACGACTCCAGCCCATTTTTGTTGTTGCTGCTGCAATGTCTCCGTTGTCATTCATTGTAATGTGCCTGCAGAGCTCCTGCCCGCAATTACTGTTTTAAAAAAATGGGTGGCGATAGAACACGAGGCTTCCTTTCTGCAGCCAGAGTGGCTGCCCAAGCCAATTTTTTGCTTTCCATCCAGCAGGGCGGTTGTCAGTCACTGTGTGCACCTTAGGACACTCAGAACAGGCCTTCCGAACCTGGTGCACTCCAGAACTTATGGGCTATGATTTCTGTCATTCCTGATCATTTGGCTATGCTGGCAGAGACGGAAGGGAGTTGGGAGTGCTAACAACATTCTAAACTTACCCAGCTCTTTCAATTTTTCCTCTTTCAAACTTTCCTTGTCCTATTCATCGCTGCTGCCATTTAGATAACTGTTACCATGAAACCTAAAAATTTTGCTGGGTGTCGTTCCTAATGTCTTGCTCCCTTTGTGGCATTTCCAGGATTCTCCGATTAACAAGCTTCTCTACGCCCGCGACATTCCACGTTACAAGCAGATGGTGGAAAGGTAAGGAGGAGGGCCAGGGAGCCGGCTGGATGTGCCTAGAAAGGAAAGGAAGGAAACAGGGTAAAGAAATGAATGGCTATCGTTCTTTATCTCCTGCAGGTACTATGCAGATATCCGCCAAACCATCTCTGCAAGTGACCAGGAAATGAATTCCGCCCTGGCTGAACTCTCACGAGTAAGTAGGCTGCAAGCTACATCACAGTCTTTTTTCCTTTCTCTGTTTTCCTCCTGCTGAGCCAAGACCTCTGTTGTTGTTGTTTAGTCGTTTAGTCGTGTCCGACTCTTTGTGACCCCATGGACCAGAGCACGCCAGGCACTCCTGTCTTCCACTGCCTCCCGCAGTTTGGTCAAAATCATGCTCATAGCTTCGAGAACACTGTCCAACCACCTCATTCTCTGTCATCCCCTTCTCCTTGTGCCCTCCATCTTTCCCAACATCACGGTCTTTTCCAGGGAGTCTTCTCTTCTCATGAGGTGGCCAAAGTATTGGAGCCTCAGCTTCAGGATCCGTCCTTCCATTCTGGCCCTCCATCTTTCCCAACATCACGGTCTTTTCCAGGTGAGTCTTTCTTCTCATGAGGTGGCCAGCATTGGAGCCTCAGCTTCAGGATCCGTCCTTCCAGTGAGCACTCAGGGCTGATTTCCTTCAGAATGGGATAGGTTTGATCTTCTTGCAGTCCATGGGACTCTCCAGAGTCTCCTCCAGCACCATAATTCAAAAGCATCAATTCTTTGGCAATCAGCCTTCTTTATGGTCCAGCTCTCACTTCCATACATCACCACTGGGAAAACTGTAGGAGCCTTCTTTTGGAATGGAAGAAGAGTCGTGCTGGATCAAGGCAATCATAGAATTGTGGAGTTGGAAGCGACCACGAGGGCCGTCTAGTCCAGCCCCCCTGCAATGCAGAAAACTTGTGCCCAATGTGGGGCTCAAACCCATGACCCTGATATTAAGAGTCTCATGCTTTTCCTACCAGCTGAGCTATCCCAGGGGAAAGAATGCTGGCCCATCTGATCCAACATCCTATTCTCACAGTGGTCACCCAGATGCCTGTAGGATCTGAGCACAAGAAGCCTCTCCCTTCCTGCAGTTTCCAGGAACTAGTATTCAGAAGCATTTCTGCCTCTGAGCATAGCCCAGGCTTCCTCAGCCTCGGCCCTCCAGATGTTTTTGGCCTACAACTCCCATGATCCCTAGCTAGCAGGACCAGCGGTCCGGGATGATGGGAATTGTAGTCTCGAAACATCTGGAGGGGCCGAGGTTGAGGAAGCCTGGCATAGCCCTTGTGGCTGGTAGCCCAAAATTACCTTCTCTTCCATGAGATTGTCCACTCCTCTAGAGTTACTAGGTCAAGTTGCATAATGGGCACAGAAGCAGCATTGGCACTGGCGTTGCTCTCTGCCGCCCTTGTTTTCCATTGCAGAGATGCATACTTGACAGAATTCTACTTGTACGCCACCTTTCCGTAGTTGAAACCATGCTCAAGGTGGCTGGCAATGCTAAAAACAACAACACGTAATTACAACATAACAAAAGCAGTCATAAACAATAAATGAAGCATCAAAAAATATGCATAAGATCCAAAATAAAGATGCAAAAAAAGTGACATTGATAACAGGAAACTCTCTCCCACCCCAAACAATACCCCAGACCAAGAGTCTGTTCAGCAGCCTCTGCTTTTGCAGCTGGAGTCAGTCAGGGCCCCGCCCTCCCAGGCCAGGTGGGAAAGGTCTGCAAAGGCAGGGAGCAGGTCTCACAGACAAGATGGAGCCGACATAACATCATGACCCTCCACCCCAACTTCCTTGCATCTGGGGCTTCCAACTCCCCTGAAGCAACTCAGGTAGAGCAGAGGTTATTGCAAGGAAAATAAGTCTTAGCTTGTAGACTGTGGCTGTGTGCCTTAATGACAGAGCACAAGTTTAATAATAATAATAATAATAATAATAATAATAATAATAATAACAATGTTTTATTTATACCCTGCTCTCCCCAACCAAGACCAGGCTCAGGGCAGCTAAAACCAAATATAAATACATTAAAAACATTAAAAACAAAACACACACACACAAATAACCAACCAAACAAACAGTTGATTAGAATATATGTTAGAATACAGCTTAAAATGCAGCCTCGTTTTAGTGGTAGCCTATAGATCAAAGCCATAAGGGGAGAAAATGTCAAATACTCACCGGGGCCAACTATCCATGCTGGTCCTACCTAGGCGAGCAAAAAGAGCCGAGGGAAAAATTATATACAAAATCCCATATAAGGGGTTCCATAAAAAAATAAACAAATGAGAGGGGGGGAGGGTTAGATTGAGTCCAGCCCAAAGGCCAGGCGGAAGTTTGGATGCAGAAGGTTCCCAGGTTCAGACCCTGGCATCTTCCAGTTAAAAATATCAAGATAACAGGTGATGATGGGAAGGACCTCTGCACGAGGCCTTGGAGAGCCGTTTCCCATCAGAGCAGACAGAACCGGGCCAGGCGGACAAGTCGTGTGTCCTAGTCCTATTTAAGGCATGTTCCATAGATCCATTGAGAGTTCTCCGCCATGAAGTGACTTCACCATATCGCCAGTCCTGTTTGCAACTTGGGCCACCAGAAAACTATTGAAAGTGACTCAGTAGGGGAGGGGGACAGCATGTTACTCTCTTGGTGACAATTAACCTGTCGTTTCCCGGTTACAGAACTACTCAGGTGACCTCAATTCCTTGGTGGCTCTGCATGAGCTCTACAAGTACATCAACAAGTACTATGACCAGGTAAATGTGGCTCATATTTTAATGGGGTCCCAAAAACTTCCTTGTAGGGGAAAGGAACATTTTTTCAGGCTGGGGGGGGGCACATGTCCCTGGTGGGTGGGACCAGAGGCAAAAGTGGGTGCAAATTTCATCTTTGTACCACATTTAGCCCACAGAGGTTAATGGTTCATAAGACTCTGTTTCTCAGTTGGTTTTGCTGCTGCTGTTACTACTAACTCAGTGGCACAACGAACGTGCAACGAGGAAAATTGCAGACTGGGTGTAAAAGAGCCCACTGCCCCCACAGAAACTCTGTGGCTCCCTTGGAACTCAAAACTGCTCCCTCCACCAAAGGATTTGTTTTGGTGCTTGTCCCTTGGATGCTGAGAGGAGGTGGAAGTGGGGAGATAATTCGGAGCAGGAGGGCGAATGAATCAAGCTGACCCCAGACCTCAAAGAGGAAAGCATTCCTTAATCAGGGTGCCTCTACCAAAAAGGCCCTGCTCCTCCTGGATGCCAACAAGGAAGGCACCCAGAGCAGGGGCCCTCCTAAAGATGATGATGATGATCATCATCATCATCATCATCCAGTGCTACCTTGGGTTACATACGCTTCAGGTTACGTACGCTTCAAGTTACAGACTCTGCTAACCCAGAAATAGTGCTTCAGGTTAAGAACTTTGCTTCAGGATGAGAACAGAAATTGTGCTCCAGTGGCGCGGCGGCAGCAGGAGGCCCCATTAGCTAAAGTGGTGCTTCAAGTTAAGAACAGTTTGAGGTTAAGAACGGACCTCCGGAACGAATTAAGTACGTAACCAGAGGTACTACTGTATATTATTTATACCCCGCCCATCTGGCTGGGTTTCCCCAGCCACTCTGGGCGGCTTCCAGCAGAATATTAAAATACAACGTAGGTTCGCATTGTATCTTATTGATGGAGATTCTGGCCTCTAGAAATCCATGCACCGAGCCTTCAGAGGCCTCGCTGGGATGCTGAGCATCCGCTGCTGCCCCACCACCAAACAAAACCAAAAACCTGGCTCTAGAGGCGAAGGCTATGACTACCAGATAACAGCTCCAGGTTTCCTCTCCCCGCAGATCATCACCGCCTTGGAGGAGGACCCGACGGCGCAGAAGATGCAGCTGGGCTACCGCCTGCAGCAGATTGCCGCCGCCGTAGAGAACAAAGTCACGGACTTGTGATGTGCCCAAGGGGACAGTCAGCCAGGCGGGGGGAGGAGGCAGAGGGCGCCTGCTGCAGCCGGGACCAAGCACGCCACACCGACGACGTGGAAGGAGGGAGGAGCAGCAGCAGACCAGGAAATGCCAAGCGCCGTGGAGGGCCGAGGGTGCCAGAGAACTTTATTCTTCTTTTTTCCTTTGTTTTTTTTTGCAACAATAATGATGATGATAATGGACTTTAGGGGAGCGTCTCCCTCCTCAGAAGCTGTGGGCTCCTCCCGTTCAGCTTCAGCCAGGAGGCCGGGAGTTACGAATGTGCCAAGAGGGTTAGAGACTAGTGTAGCCACGCAGGCGGCGATTTTTTTGCCTCGGCGCCTGTAGCCAAGGCTCTGGATTTGGGCGGGCTCCCTTTCGCCCTGAGAAGAGAGAGCATCCCACTGCCTAAGCAATCAGAGAAGGAGGGGAGCATCTCTTCAGCAGAGCCCTTCCCTGGCGCATCAAAACAGACTGGGACCAAGCGAAAGGGAAGAGGCTGAGGATGGAGGACAGAGGAGCCACCGCCGGGCTGGGAAAGGCCTGCCACTAGCTGGGACCCCGCCGAGATTCCTGGAACAGCACAGAGGAGCCCGCGCCTTCCTTCCTCACCCACACCTGGTTCGAAGGTCCTTGCCCCCCGCAATCCCAGCATGCCTTTCTGCAGCTGCTGCTCCGAGCACAGAGCCCGTCCCCAGAAAGCACAAAGGAGACCTTGCTCCCCTCCGACTGCCTCACCCCCTCTTGTTTGCTGCTGTTTGGGAAATAACGGACCTCTGTATCGCACTGTAGAGCTGCGGAGAGGGGAAGCCTTTCCTGCCCTCTCCCGCTCCTCTTTTGAGTTAGCACTTCTTCGCAAGCAAACACCCTCTTTCCTCGTGTTCCTGTCTCTCACGCTGTGGCTTTGCTTTGTCCACCGCCACCCCACTTCCCCATGGGGGCCTTTCCTGGGTCTGCCAGAGGCAACTCAGAATTTTTGCAGAACCAATTGGCCGTGCCTCTGGCTTCCTCCAAGGCCCATTGTGGCGGCTTTTGCTGCTTCTCTGCCTGCAACTCGGTTGCCAATATTTCACCGGCTTCTCATTCTGTGTCTTTGAGAGCTGCTTGATCTACAGCAGCAGTGGCTACCCCTTCGCCCCTCCAAAAGTTGCTAGACGACAACTCCTGTCATTGTCCCTGACCTCTGGCTCAGGCTGATGGGAGTTGGGTCACTTCCAGACGTTCTGTTTATTTACTTGGGATTTGTTTGCACAAAAATTGTGGGGAAGCTAGACAACCTCAGCTGTTTATTTAGCATTCTGGTTTTATTCTAATTCGCAATATTATACCACACTTCCCAGTGTGTTTTCCTGTCACTTCCCCTATTATAAAAAAATAAGATTTGGAGGTGGGAATGAGGTTCTCCAGCAAGAGCTCCAAATCAGATTTATTTACCCAACATGATTTTGTCCATATGCGATTGAATCTCACCCAGAGGTGTTGGTAGTCTGGGATGGTGTGTGGAGACAAAGGTCTGTGACGATTTCTGCAGCAGGGTCTCTGTCTCCGGGGTCCTGAAGCCACAGGAAAGGGAAGCCTTTTAGCTACTTGGAATAAGTCTTCTCACCCTTTTTGCTGATTGGAGCAAATCAGAGGGAAAGGAAGTGAGCCAGCCATGGAGGATTGGCTCCCGGGGTCGTTCTACAGAAGGCACACTGGAAGAGCTCAGATGAGTTGTTCTGTATGCTCCAAAGCTAAGCCTTTTAGCACTGAAAACACAAGCTGCTTCGGTTTCGGGAGAATTGCGTTCGTGTTCTGTAACGTACAAATACAACTTAAGTCGTTCCAGATATTGGAGCACTCCAAATGATTTGCCCGTGTACGAGCACAGTAAAAAGTAGATCTAGCTCACAGGAAGCACATGTAGATCTGCACTTATTGTTGCAATGAATCCCTGATTATTAGTAGTATTGTACAATTATAAGGTTATGCAGCCTTCTTAGAAGGGGGCGTGGCAGTGCCTATGGTGAAGGGGCCCTACACTTCTGAATT